AGAGCTCACGTGGCTGAAGGGTTTTGGCCTCAACTGTGGGCTTCGTCAAATGAGTGCTCAAAAGTAGCTGTGCCCTTTGCCTCCTCAGGGGGCATCCATGATGGTGTCTGAGAGTCTACAATCATACATCTCTGCACCTCACTTGAGATGGATTAAATAGTGTAATTCCATCTTTCTCATGTCCCCCGAGACACTGAGGGTTGGGTTCCTTCATAATCTGTCACATGAATAAGAAATTGTGATTAAGCATAATTTCTGGACAAAAAAAAAAAAAGACCTATTTACAGAATTTCTGTAAAGATAAGTTTTCTGCTGGGAAGCACTCCCAGATTTTGATGCAACTTGCTTAAGAGTTAAAATATGTCTATTTCTATTAATACTGGTGAACTGGCAGGCAATCCGATAAAATTTGACCAAGGCTCTTTCAGGACAGTTGCTTAGAAGACAAATCTGAGTGGCTGAGAATGGCCCCAGTGGTGAAGGTGGTGGTGGGGGGACTGCTGCTGTGTGTCTTCATGTGCTTTCATCAGACTTATGGTCCACCATGTTCATCAGAACTTCAAAACAATAAAAATACACATCTGATTTCATGGTGTCTGAACTTTTATTACAAGGCCTGGGCTATTTCTTTCCGAGGTATTAGATATCAATTACAGCATGATTTAAATCATGGGGACTGGAGCTAGAGCACTAAACAAGTGGGGAGCCCGGTCCCAAAGCACCGAGGATCAAAAGTGAGAAAATCGAAGTTCAAATGTCTAGTCCAAATAGGAACCAAGTGGAAAGAGAGGAATAACACGCAGAGTGAAAGCTTGGTCAGCAACTAAGTAAGATTTCTGTGAAGAAGTCAAGTTTCTTTGGTCATTCAAACATCTGATGTTTAGGCATGTCAGTCTGGCTTATAAATTCAAACGTCTTCCCTTTCAGATATGCTTTCTCATTATATGGAGTGGAGGTCTATTCACTCAAAACCTTCCAAAGTTTCATACCCTAATAGGCATAGATTTTTCAGGGAGCACCGAGACCTTTCCTGACACTTTTATCTTTATCAAAAACTTGAAATTTAATTCTCTGCATAATGGCAACTAGATCATCAGATCAACTCATCTATCCTAGTGTGTTCATGAAAGCTTGTATGATACTGTATTGCTCCTGCAAAGGAAAAGGAATTTTTAAATGCCTTAACCTCCCAAATGGTTAGGATCAAAATTTTATACAGATGAGGATGTTGAAGCTATTATAATAATATGAAAGAGATGAAATCACTCTCTTACTAAGATGTGCCATATCAGAAACTATATGTTTGAATGGTAGCTGTGAAGAAAATTGAACCCTAGTGTCGGTTTGCCTTGGTTCAAATCTCTGCTCTGCCACTTACTAGCAATAATGACTGTGAGTTAGTAATGGTTAACTTATTTGGTTGTAGTGAGGACAGAAGGAGTCAAGTGATTTAATTACCTGAAATCAGCTCTATACAAGAGTTAGCCATTATTATTCTTCTAGATAGAGGGTATAATATACTGGTTAAAGATTTGGGCATGGCATTGAACATATCTGGGTTAAGATTTCAGTTTTTCTATGTACAAAAGCTTGGAGAAACATTTCAATCTTTTTATGTCTCAGTTTCCTCATCTAGGAAATAACTTAGGAGGATGAAATCAAATTATCCATGTAAATGACTTTATACATGGTAAGTTTTTGCAATTGTTTTTCTCATTTCCCATTTTGCTTGACTTTTCCCACAGGGTTCTATTATGTCCTGTTCTAATGATATTCAGGATGGGAGATGTTTTCATATTCATGTGATAAATATCCAGATTGAAGATAATATTTTGAGTAATAGAATAACACCAAGTGTTATTATGTGTTGAATGTTTCTCTACTATCCCTCTAAAGAGTTTTCATGGTTAAAAAAGAAATTAATAAAGAAAGCTGTTGCTGTCTAGATGTAGATTAGTGTTGGTTGTAAAGTAAGGTTTCTCGGGTAAAGATTTATTTCCGTTGGTAGTGATGGCATATTTCTGGAGAGTTGAGGCATCAGAGCCCAGTAGCTTGTTTTTCAGCAGCTCCCAGTAAATGTGATCACACTCAATCTTCCTATTGAAGTTTTCTATGCTAATGCAGGAGGCTCTTGCCTTGAGAAAAATCTTTAAAAGTTGCACAGCTCCACAGAAGCAGAGGTTGGGAGGGAGGCATGCTTTGTGTCATACACATTAATTCAGTTGGCACATTACAATGTTAAACTAAATGACATTATTACAAAGCTGTGCTAAGAAGTGTTGACAGGTCCATATGGTAATTTTACAATGTATAATGAACACACAGACTCCTTTCTTGCAGAAATTTATAGTTCAAATCTATACCCAGGATATCCAGTTTTATTTCCAGAAACTTAAATTGACTTATTACGATGTAGTGAATGTATAAATTAGTTCCAGTAGTTAAACTGAAACATTTCCCTACAGACTCAATTAGATTCATTAATCTGCTGTGTAGACCTGTAAACGGCCCATTGTTCTTTTCCCCCCAAAATGTCAAAAACTATTTCTCTAACTATAAAATATTTCCTACAAAAACTGTTTTAAATGGTCAGAATTATTGTATATTAGAAACCCAGGACTACAAATTATCTTATTGTGCTGGTACTTTTTTTTTTTTTTAAAGAGAAAAATAGGGGCCAGCCCTTGCCAAGAAATTTAGTAGGGTTTGTAAGTGGATTCACTGCTCTTTCGCAGTGAAAATGCACTGAAATTAAGAAAAGATCATCTTTTCCCTAGTCCTCCTGGATAAATCAGTTGGCATGGGGCATATTGTGTGTGTTCTTAGCCCCACAGCTTTTTCATTTTAAAACTTTTGTTTATGTACCTCCCACTGCCTGAAGTGTGGCAGCTTCCCAGTCCACTGTGATGTTCCATGGTGGCTGAGTAAAATAATACAACCTGTTAATGAGTTCCGTTTCAAACGATGCACACCTGTGTCTTACCTTTTGCAAAATACCACCCTCCATGTGGGACCCAGGGAGGCCACTGCACAGCAGAGCTTTAAACACAGATCAAAAAAAAAAAAAAATTTAACTACTGTTGTGAAATTTATTAACAACAACAACAACAAAAAATACACCTTGTTTTATTGATTGATGAAGGTGGCTGCTTTTACTTACTGCATGCTATTTTTATTTATTGTTTTGCTGCTGTGATTTATTAAGCATTCTTTCTTTCTTTGAAAAATCTTTGCAACTGTTTTCTTTGACTTTTGGTTTTTTTAATGGCTCAGCTTTAATACTCTTTGCACAGTTGTGTTTAATGGTAACTTTGATTTTGGTTTTAGTCCTGAATAGCCATGGACTATTCCATTTTGAAGATGAGAAGGGGCAGTTTGGGTCATTCTCAGACAGACTGATACTGATGTTACCTGAAATTGAGATATTTAAGATTCATTTGACTGTAGTTAACAGAAAACAATTCCAGCTCTCTTTATGAAGAAAAAAGGAGTCATTTTAAGGATATAGGAGGGTCTCATTAGGCCAAGAATGAAAAACAAGTGGTCCTTACAAAAGATTTGGAACCAAGAATTCTCTCTCTCTCCTCTCTTTATAGCTATTTTATTCTTACTCATTATTACTTCAATTCTACTGTAGCTTTCTCTACTCTGGTCCATAGTGTGGAAAATTTGGCAAAAAGAAACTCCCCAATTTTTACATTATAGACTGAATCCTCTTCCACCTCAATTCCTATTTTAGAAATAGAAATTCTGGTTGGTGTAGATGGCTTTAGTTCTACCCCTGGGATAACCAAAAGCAAGTATGGAGTGGGGGAGGTAGTGGAAGGGAAAAGCAGATACTCCCAAGTGGACAAAAGGTATATACAAATAAGCTACACTAACCGGCTAATCAGAGAGAAAGTAGGAGGCAGTTCCCAGGAAATGGTGACAGTGGCAAGTGGAGATCAGTGTTGGGCTGAATATACACATGTAATAAATACCTTGCTTACTTTCAAATGCCCATCCTAAAAAGGTAATTACCTGTTTTCTTGTTATCTTTGGTCTGAGATTGTGTACTAAATTAGAGCAGTAGGTGCCCCAAAAGTAGAGATATTGGACTTTTTCTCTACGATGATATTTCCAGTGAGAAATATAACATGTTGAAATAATCAGCTTCCTGTTCGCAGTCCCATCTTCATCTGCTCACAGGACATGCACAATTTTGCTGCCAATGTATAGCGTAACATTTTCTTCCCCCACCCTTTTCATTTCATTAATATGGAGGTGGGGAAGGGGTGTGCCAGATTCTTCTTACAACATATTTTCCTCTAATTTTTCAACTTATCACCTCCCTTCTTGGAATTCTAGCTTTCATGACAAATTGAAGAGTTCTTGCTTCTACGAATCTGCTCAGAGCTCATCTCTGTCCCTGCACTTCTGGTTGGTGGCAAAGCAGCTACACATGCACAACAAGGCGAGTCTCCCACATCCAGAAAGGACAGGAGGCCTGAAATCAGCAAAATCAGCTCAAGCGTTTCCCTGCCCTTTGGATTTGATAAATGCTTCTTTCAGGCAGCCTGCCCCATGGCTCAGCACTCCAATTCCAATATTCATTGAGTAACTCCCATGTGCCAGGTGCTGTGTTACATGCTTCGGGAGATGCAAAATAAGTAATAAATTGTTTCTGCCCTCAAGTAGACAGCCACCTCGATGGGGTGACAAGATAGTCCTCAGAAAAGTATGCTATACTGGACAATGCGAAAACAGTAAATAAACCTGGGGCTGGGGGTCATCAGAAAATGAGTTTAAAGGATGATTAGGAAGTTTATAAAAGGAGATGTGAGGTGTATAGGCCCACTGGCATCCTCCTCTTTAGATTCTGTGTGAAAGGGAATAGTCCTTGATAAGCGCAGAGCCCAGCAGGAACTCTCGGGAGATAACTGAACTGCAGGAAACTCGAGTTCTCTGCTGTCACTGGAGGGAGAAATGAGGACGGAAGTGAGAATGAAGAAGAAGGCTGAATAGCGGAGCTGAGATGAATGTTGAGCAGGAACCCCAGTGTAGAATTTCTTGTTTTACATGGAAATTTAAGTAATTTTTCTAGATGACCTACCATTTGCCAGGAACTATCACATCATTTTTGTCCTATCCACTTTATAGTCAGAGGGGTAGGAGATATGCATAACAAAACTTGTAGGGAATACTGCTGGGAACTGAACCTAGCATGGTTCAACCGAACAAAGAAGATGGGAACATTCATCAGGAATTAAAGGAGGTGGGTAAGAGCTCATGAACTTGCTTTCTTGGTAGCTGCCTTAATTTTTCTGCTCTCTTCTCTAGAGTCCTCTAGAAAGCAGATCATAATGAAAGACCCTTCAGAAGCAGAAATTTGTTGATGTCTCCTGTGGATTCACCATTATTTTTTACTTAGTTGCTCTTTATTTTTGCTCCTTTCTAGACACCTTTTAGATTCTGCTTCTGTAATGAGGTAGTGGCTTCCTGTTGGGGCCACTAACTGACAATATCTCTGTACTTCTCCATTCAAACTAAGAGAGACTTTATAAACGGCACAAGTCAACATCCCCATTCCTATGGAATGAAGTTTTAGGCTAGGCTTTTTCTAGGCTATAAACTGGCCTTTATGTAGGATACATGGGTCAAATACCCAACACAATCCAAAAAGCTGTGGCCAAGATTATTGGTCCAAGTGACTTGACCTTCCATATAGAAGAAATCACTAAGAAGAGACTCAATATGGACAAACAGGAGAGAAGGCTAAGAAATATCATAGTTTCAGCCACTGAACTAATTCCTTAAGCCATTGTTGCATACATTTTTTTTTTCCTCTTCCATCTCAGTAACTGGTTTGCCGTAGTGTTTGGTTAAAGCAAAAAGATTAAGAACACAGATTTGGAAATCAGACAACCATAGGCTTAGTTCCTAGTTTGGCTGCTTATTATTTGTATAACCTCAGTAAGTTATTCAGGTTTTCTATGCTTCTTTTTCCTCATCTGTAAGATTGCAGTTAATATTTAATGAAGTTTATACAAGGGTCAAATAAAATAATATCTGTAAACTACACAGAGAGAGCTCATAACAAATGACAGACTGGTATAAAAAATAAATTATATTGCCGTAAGAGTAATAGTTACTTGGAGAAAATTAACATGGAAACAGAAGAAATTATTTGAGAAATGATTAAAACAAAAGATCTTGGATTTGCTGTGTTTTTTGCTTTAGAAAAAAACATTGTTTCACATGGCCTTAGAATATGGGGCCAAGAGATAGACATGGTTCACTTAATGTCCTATTTAGTTTGCAAAAGTATATTCTAAATCTATATTATTTGAGTAAATGTACCTTTCCCATGAACACATGAACATTTCTAAAAGAGATTCTATAATTCTTAAAAACTTAATGTGCTAATGACCACATGTAAAGATAAAACTGAATGTTAATGCCACAGTTGGTTGAGCCAAGATTTTATGCATAAATAAATGATAGTGGCACATTTTTAAAATGTACACAAACATAAAAGTGCAAAGTTCATAAAACAAATTAATCACAGTTTATTTTTTTGGTGTGTTTTTAAAAATGTCATTGATGACCTTTCAGAAGTGAAGACAAGAAAAAACAGTAACACTTGAGTTTTGGGAGAAAAAAAACATTAAAAAATAATCCCTTTTGATACATAAGAACATTTGCATATCCAAAGCAAGCTTCTGAACGGTGCTGTGTTTTTTGTGAATGATCAACTCTCTAATTAGCCAATTATCATTGCAAATACAGAAAGGGACAAAAATCACAAACTGTTAGCAACTTAAAATAGAAATCTACATCACTACATATGAAAGGAGAGTTTCAGTAGACTAGGAGGCTGAGGATCAGAATGAAATTGTTTTTAAACCTTTGCTGAGATAAAAATAATGTTTTACAAGATGGTGTCACTTTTCTCTGAGTAATGAGAGCAATTTTTGACATCTGTATGACTGTTAAAACAGTGTGTTCCTTTTGTAAGATAATACAAAAGTAACTTGAATGATGTATAACTTTATTCAAAATAATCCCCAAATATTCAGAAGCTATTTATGGTTATAATTACAAATATTAACTGTCTGTATTAGTTGAAGTCAATGTATTGGTATCACCAAATGGTGAATGAGGCACACCCATGGCATGTGGGACCCAGCTGGAAATGTCACCCTCTGATGCCGTAGCTAACAATAATCAACATAAAATTAAAACATTAAGCCACCTGCAGAGTTAACTCACAATAGATGTTTTATAAAGAAGTACAGGGTGTCACCAAAGATCACCAGGCAGATGTCTATCAGAATTTCAGTTCAGTGATACACAATAGACTAAAACCTCAGAAATTATTCCATGCTTCTGGCAATCAAAAACGCAAGTGTTACGTGGAAGTGTAGAAAGTACATTTCTGCAAAAGAGTTTGTCAGTATTGCAATGCACTGTTCTAAGGCAAGGATTCTTTCTCTGTCTATTCAGTGGATATGATACGCTGCTTCAGCAATTGTACAACTGGGTCTGAGGAGAGCTGAGTCTTAAAATGACTCTTGGGCACTAGCTTTTCCTATCAAAAAGCTATGTCCTGTTTACACAACCAGCCTCAGTGATCTGTTTAGATGAGTCACTCACTGCAAATGAAAACATTGGCTTTCTGGTTTATCTATGTATGTGTTATCTGTTGCTTTGTGTGAGTCAGACCCTGGGACATATTAATCCCTGAGTGAATTGACAAAGTGAAGTCCTTCGTGTGCACAACCAAAGTCAGGACTCTGAAGGGGGGAATCTCCAAGATCCAGTTCACCTATAAACTCTGTCAGCAATGGCTCAACCATCTTACGGAAAACATGTCACCTGCAGTGAATTATGCTTAATTAAGATTTATATATTTTATGGCAAATGTTTCTTGCAATACAGATACTACTAAAAGGATTATTAATTTAAAATGTTAATCAAGTCCAGCCGGTGTGGCTCAGTGGTTGAGCATCGATCCATGCACCAAGAGGTCACGGGTTCGATTCCTGGTCAGGACACATGCCCAAGTTGTGAGCCCGATACCCAGTGGAGGGCATGCAGGAGGTGGCCAATCGATGTTGTCTCATCATTGATATTTCTCTCTCTCTCTCTCCCTCTCACTTCTCTGTCTAAAATCAATAAAGGGGAAAACATAATTTTTTAAAAAAAGCTAATCGTGTTGCTGGTGGAAATGGGATTCTTCCATGGAGTCAGAGAAAAGCATTTTGGAGCTCCATGCCTGGGAGGACGAGGTGTAGTGGTAAGATTTATTGAAGTAAAAATAAAGGAATGTCTCCAGGTGTCCAATATCTCATCCACGACCAGATGTCTCAGCTCGGTCCTGCTGGGGAAGAACTCCAGCCTTGTCTTCACCAAGCCCAGAAGGGCCAGGGTCCAGAGATACTGTGCCATCACCCATCAGCAGCAGGCTGTCGGAAGCTGCCACGGTTCAGTTTAGTGCCCACCATGGCTTACTCCAGCTCAGTCTCGGTCCACGTCAGGCTGGCTTAACCTCTGTTCCTGGTTGTGCTCTGGTCAGCATTGTGCTGCTGCACTTAGGCCTGTGCCCGGAACCCGCCCGTGGGCCCACACGGCTGCCAGTCCCGCATGACTGCTATGGAGAGAGGACAAGTAGACAAAGGGCGAGCCTATGAGTAAAAGCCCAGATGGGTTAAGCTTTGATTACGTTACTTGGGGATTGGGAGAGAGATGCTTTTCTTTTGAACTAACCAATCTCTTTCCAGTTCCTTTGGGACTTGTGCTGGGTCCTCCCCTGTCAATCCCTTTCCTAAATTTTCTGGGGTTCTGTGTCACTTGTCCAATCTGATTCTATTCCCAGGATAGAGACCTTCCTTTGATGTTTGCCATCTTGGCTTCTGTGCATGCACGCAGCAGAGGAATTCTTTTCTCCTCTAGTGGGTCTCCTGTGGTAATATTCAGGAAGGAATGGTGGTTCCCTGGGGAGATTGGAAGGTTGGTCCGGAAAGAGGGGGATTAATCCCCTTGGCGAGAATTTGGCTATCCCCCTGGGTGTCTAAAGCTGTAACTTTCAGACCTAAGCCTGACTAAGTATAACTTTCAGACTCAATCAGGCCCAGCCAATCTGGTTCCCTTCTCTTCTGTTAACTCCAAGCTGCTTATGCTAACAATTGAATAACATAAAATTTGACCTCCATTAATGCTTTTCTTATTTTCTGATCATTTTATTTACATTACAGATTTGGCATTAACCATATACTTTTCTACATGCAACTGTAGTATATACTACAAGTCTGATCTTTGCCTCTAAATTACAATATTTTGAGGAAAGGTATCAATTTATCGAGTCCTCCTCCCAGAGCCCAGTGAAGTACCTTGTGTGTTGTAAGTTGGTAGTCAGAAGCTATTTGTTGAATGAAAAAAGCAGTCTTAAATTTGCATGTCATACTGCGTCGGAGTGTCTATACTCTCCTGTTTTTACGGCAGTCGGAAGCCTTGGACGTGCATTTCCAAGAATCCCTGCTCCCACCAGAGTCCTGGTTAGATGCCATCCGTGAAAGGTACTTGCTCAATACCTGGAAAGACAAGGAGAAGTAGGAACCATCTTGTCCTCGTGGCTGCAATAGACAGGTGTGAAATCTTCTCAAGATCCTACTGAAAAGCATCCAGTTTAGTGCTGTAGATGGCTGTGGTGATCGACGGTGGATTCCTGCCATCCTCCACTGCCAATTTCCTAAGATCCAGCAGTGGCTTTTCCTGAACACTCTCACAGTTCTTCCAACCGTGACATAGGCAGTAATTCCCTCTATCGAATTCTGTTCTGCCTTACATTTCTAGAGTAATTTCGGTTTTCATAAATATTGATCGATACACTTGAAATTATCATTTCCTTCTGCTTATCATTCCTGCTGTGTCCCTCTTATAAAAAATATCTTCAAAAGTTTTGAACATTCTTTTCAGAATATGAACTGTATTAGCAGGGGAAATGTCATCAGCCTCAAGTTATAATTATGTATTAGGGCTCACCTAATTGTTTCTCAGGATCGCATTACTGGACTGCCCATTGTCCAGTCTCTGAAAACAGTTTTTCCTTTTATTTTTCTAGTCATTTAATCTAGGAGGGCAAAGCACAGTTATTCTGTCATGGCTAAATCAGGATTCCCTAGTTTATACTTTGGAGAAGAAAATCTCTCTCTCTCTCTTTCTTTCTCTCTCTCTTTTTCTCCTCCCTCCCTCCCCCCTCTCTCTAATAAGTCTATGTATGTATTACAATATACGAAAATCAAACCCTAGTTTATTGTGAACTAGAGAGATTTGTAATAATGAAGAATATAGTGTTCAGTGTATTAATGTCAAAACGTATTACTTCAGAGACAAAATTGTTATCATATAATTAAGAACTACAATCAAAGTTTTGCTGAGACAATCAGGGAGGGGTGCACTATTGATTTTCCTCTTGCTGGGCCCCAAGAAAGTTGGAGCATCTGAGAAGGCTGGTGTGTGAAAATATGGCAACAGTAGTCCTGCAGAACAAAAATAGTCTGTAACTATTCTTGGTATGGACAAATCTATAGACTGTAGAAGCTGTGATGCCCAGTATCCTGTTAAAGCTTTTCCCCTGAGTTTCTGTTATTTTCTGATCCCCAAGCCTCTGCAATGTTTTTTCTTAAGTAGTCTAGTGTGTTTTTACCTGCTTTCTGCTGAATTGAACTCTGGTTCAAGAGGCTTCAAGATTCCAGCTGCATTGGTGGTTTGTGGTGGTAGTATGCCACCGATATGGAGCGGAGAGGAGGATTAGAAGAGAATGACTGGCTGGGATTATAAAGACAAAGAGGCTGAACTGGCACAATATGTAAGCATTCTTCAGGGACTCCTAGGAATGCTAGGGGAGGAGAACCTAATGAAACATGGCTTCTTTGCATTCTGGGGCAGGAGAGAGAGGGAAGGGCTAGTATTTATTGGGTCATTAATTAGACATTTAATTTGCAGAGGCTAGAGTATTTGCTATATCTGCAGCACTTTCTCAAAAAAGAAAAAAAGTGGTACTAAATGAAACGAATTACTTCAAATGTAGTTGTTTGAGAAGTGTAAATATATAGAAATCAACAATTTTTAAAAATCTGAAAATTACTGGATTTTCTGAAGACAATTGGAGAAGGATTTCCCTTATTATTGCCAAAGAAATTTATGGTATAGTTTTCCTCTTTTATGAAATTAAATTCATTGAATCTATATTTTATGTTCTTGAATATATAAGGTAAATTTTTTCACAATGTCTTCCTTTTTCGTTTTTGGTGCAATAAATACCCGAGTTATTATTCTTTGGGCCAGACTTTATAGTCTGCATTTTGTGTTTTGAATTTTGTATGTGATGATCCATGTGAAATTTTAACTAATTATACCAGAAAAATGATGCAAGCTTATCTTTCTGGGCTAGAAATGCAATGTCTGGTCTAGTGTGCAGTTCAAGTTCCAACAATCTAAGTTGTTGGAAATTTAGTGGTGAAAAAAGCATCCATCAATGTGAAAGTTATATGATTTAAAGGTAATAGTCATTATTTCCAAGGATTCTTTGCAAAGTTAGGTATTTCATTTTTAACAGTATTTATTTAACAAATTTTAAGATCTTAATGACATGAAGAAAAAGTAAGATACATTCTTTTTCTCTATATACTCTACCAAGCAGAGTAATATATCTGTTGATGATAAGGCTGCACTATTCCCTGGATTTTTATTGAAACTCATCAAAATATAATTAGCTGCATACAAGGTAACTCAATCGAAGGGCAGTTCAAGGTTCCAGATAATTTGCAATGAGTCTATTCACCTAGCATTCTCTAATTTTCATGATATTTATTCTGCTTAATATGCATTATTTGTTATAAACTTTCTCAAGGTAAATGCACAAGAAGAAATAATTTTTTCCTTTAATAAGGAAATGGATCAGAGGACTTTGATAACCTGGAATATCTCTGAAAGGGGACAAATCCTGAAGAGTGTGCTGTTTGCATAGGAATGACAGGAAGGACACATAGCACATCATTATTTCTTCCACTGGTACTCAGAGTGGTTTGCAAAAGGGAAAAAACTGAACACAGTCATAGAAACTTTGAGTCATTGGACATTTTTCCTGTGACTGCCTACTTAATCCAGGAAGAAAGTGAACATTCATGAGTCAGAGCCCTTAGCTTTGCCGAGTTCACTTAAAAATGACAATGGAATATTGTACAAGAAGAATTTGCATCTAATAATCTGGAAAATATTTGAAATAAACCAGCACTTGGTCATTCCTATTCTCCCTCCATGTGGGTGTGAAAGAAATAGAATTGTCTCAAGAAGTCTGTTTTTCTTAGATAAGAAGGAGCCCACTCTTCCAGGAAGGTGCAAAGCATGTCATAGCTCCACAACAGGGAGCAGGCAGGACCAACAGCAGAACCAGCCTGACTTCATATGACAGAGGTGCAGTCCTTCGTGAAGAAGTGTATAGATAATTTCTTAAAGTTCTGTTGAATTTATTTAAATTTTGATTTTGAAGAAAGGTGAAATTAGTTTTAGAAACCACACAGTAATTCATTAATGAGTAAGAAAAACAAGAAGTTTGAGTACTCGGGACGCCTATGTTGAAAAGGCAAAAGCAGAATGGTGCATGAACAGGACCTTACTGGAGGAGTGGAGCGGAGCACAGTAGAAAGGTGACGAGGGGTGTGAATCACACACTTGTAACTACAAGTCTGGAATCATTAGCTTTTATGCCATTTTACTTTTTACTGCATTTGAGCTCTAGTTTTGAAGTTCTATAGTAGAACATAATCTTATTCATCTTAACATCTTTGTACAGAGTACATTGTTGTACATTATGCATTGCTTTGGACATATTGGACAGAAGGTGAGTTAGAACACAGATTTTAGAACCCTCAAATATCTGTTTCTGAATCCAACCTTTTTTACCAGCTGAGGGATTTTACACAGTTCATTTAATCTGAGTATCAGTGAATATATCTTTAAAATGGCAATAAATGTGACTCATCAGAATACGGTGAAGATTAAATAAGAAATCAAGTATGTAGAAATAATACCTGGTAAGTACACTGTATTCTTTTGATGAACTGTAGGAGTCACTTTTTTTTTTTTTTACTTGAATTGTATTGTCCTGCATTTGTGTCCATCCAAAATGCATGTCTTAAATCTTAACACCAAATGTGATGATTTGATGTGGGGCTGTTGAGAGCTAATTAGGTCATAAGCATGGAGCTCTCATGAACGGGATTAGTACCTTTCCAGAAACAGACCCAGAAGGCCCCTTGCCCCTTCTACCATGTGGACATATGGTAAGTCTTGAACTGGGAAGCAGGGCCTCACCAGACGGAGAATCCGCTAATACCTTGATCTTGGACTTCCAAGAACTGTGAGCAATAAATTCCTGTTGTTTACAAGCTGCGTAACCTTATACACAGCCCTGCAATGGTACTCTGCTACCGCAGCCTAAGACCCTATGGAAAAACAAAGTTGAGTACAAACAAGTTTCAGGGAACAAAGAAGAAAGAACTGCCTTCTTCATTTTTGGTCCAATTAGTCAGCAGAAGAGACTGTTGGAAACAGAAAAATAAAGGACAATTTCTAAAAGTTATGCCTACTTAGACAGTTGGTGTCTACGTTGATGCAGCTCCAGTCTGTGTGCACTGTGGCCTCATTCCAGCAGCAGGAGCCCATATTAGTCTAGCACTACCCACACATGCAGAGATGTGTTCTGGTAGGAGATCAAAATAATAAGGTGGGTGGATAAAGAAGCATCTACACCCTACCCGTATTATCTTAAAGATATTTCACATATTTAGAGAGGGACAACTGAATCAGATCTTGAGACACCACTATGTTAGAAATATAATAACCACAAAACTGTTGTGATGTGTGAGGTATTACAGTTAAACAGAATATATATTTTGTGTACTATATTGTTCAGTATACAAAATACACCTTATCAGATTATTCTTAGTAATTGGCATTGTGTTGGTTTTATATTTCTGCCATAGCTAATTACTGCAAGTCTAGAAACATAACAAACCACATATTTATTATTTTATATTTCTCTAGGCCAGAAGTCCAATTTGGATCTCACTGGGTTAAAATCAACGTGTTGGCAGGGCTGTGTTTCTTTCGGAAGTCTCTAGGGGAGAATCTGTGTTCTTGGCTTTTCCAGCTTCTAGAGGCCACCCACATTGCTTGGCTTGTGATCTCCTTCCTGCAAACTTAAAGTCAGCAGAGTCACATCTCTCAGACATCTGTCGTTGAATCTCTCTCTGACTCAGCTGGGAAAGAGTCTTCACTTCTAAAGAATTATGTTATTAAATTGGACATACCTATGTAATCCAAAGTGATCTCCCCATCTCAAGGTTGTTACCCTTAATCACCTCTGAAAAGTAGCATCTGCCATGTAAAATACTATATTCACAGCTGCCAGGAATTAGGGGTGGACATCTCTGTGGAGGCCATTATTATGTCTACCACAGGTAACATCTGTTTTGTTTTGCCTTTCACAAACTTGTTCTGTGCCAATAAAAATGACTACATAATCTATAATTGAATGACTGACGTTTAAGTCATTTCTTTTTCTTTTTTTTTTTCCACTATCTCAAATAAGGCAAATTTGACATCCTTGTAATGTCTCATGATTTTTTTTTCCTTCAGGATATATTTCCAAAAGGAAAATATCATCAGACATGCAAATTGTAAGGTATTTGATCCATATCACAAATAAGACTTTGAGAAATTTACACTTCAACCAACTGTATACAAAAGTGGGTTTTAAAATTATATATTATCCAGTAATAGTTACTCTCAATCTATTTTTCAGTCTTGGTTCGTTTTATAGGTGAACTAGACAAAGTCTTGGTTGTAAACAACCTAAAATAATTGCATTTAACTTAAGCAGTAAATGAATGTGTAGGATCTGAACCAAATAATTCACAGAATCACTAAAATGAAGAATCTGGAATGTGCAGAATCCAAGAAAAACAATGAGGGATCAATATTCTACTTTAGCCATGATGCAGTTAGGATTCCAGTGCTGGTTCTGTCGTCACTAAACATTGACGTGGCGTAAGTCCTGGTGCCTCTGGATTCCACGGGGCACTTACACAAAGTCGCTGTACTCTCAACAGTCCCACAAAAAATATAGTCATTGATTCTTCTTTTCTTTTTTTTTTTCAAATCTTTATTGTTGGATGTAAAATGTATTACAGATGTTCCACGTTTTTCCCCCATTGACCCCCTCCTCCCCACTCCTGCCCCCCTCCCACCTTTTCCCACACTATTGTCCGTGTCCATTGGTTATGCATATAAGTTCTTTGGTTTATTTCTTCCCACCTTTCCAACCCCTTTCATTTTGAGGTTTGTCAGTCTAGCAATGAATTTGTGCTTCTTAATCCCTTCACCTTTTTCACCCATTCCCCCAACCCCCTTCCCAACTGGCAACCAACAAAATGTTCTCTGTATCTATGAGAATGTTTCTGTTCTTCCTGTTCATTTTGTTTGTAGATTCCATTGTTGATAGATATGTATTCATTGCCATTTTGCTTGTTCATACATTTTATCTTTTTCTTCAAAAAGACCCTTCATCATTTCATATAATAACAGTTTGGTAGTGATGAACTCCTTTAACTTTTTCTTGTCTGGGAAAGTCTTTATATGGCCATCGATTCTAAATGACAACTTTGCAGGATAGAATAATCTTGGTTGTAGGTTCTTGGTTTTCATCACTCTGAATATTTCTTGCCACTCCCTTCTGGCCTGCAAAGTTTCTTTTGAGAAATCATCTGACAGCCTAATGGGAACTCCCTTGTAGGTAACTCGCTGCCTTTCTCTTGCTGCTTTTAAGATTCTCTCTTTGTCTTGAACCTTTTGCATTTTGATGATGATGTGTCTTGGTGTGGGCTTCTTGGGGTTCATCTTGTTTGGGACTCTCTGTGCTTCCTGGACTTGTATGTCTGTTTCCTTCACCAAGTTAGGAAAGTTTTTTGCCATTATTGTTTCAAACAGGTTTTCGATTTCTTGTTCTCTCTCTTCTCCTTCCGGCACCCCCAAGATGCAAATGTTGGCACGCTTCAAGTTGACCCAGAGGCTCCTTACACTATCCTCATTTTTTTGGATTCTTTTTTCTTTTTGCTGTTCTGTTTGGGCGTTTTTTGCTTCCTTGTATTCCAAATCAATGGTTTGCTCCTTAGATTTACATACTCTATTATTGAAGCTGTGTAAATTATTCTTTATTTCAGTTAATGCCTCCTTCAATTCTAACTGTGTATCCATGATTTCTAACTGGTCCTTTTTTATGCTCTTGAGGCCCTCCCTAAGTTCACTGAGGTTCTCACTAAGTTCATTGAGCATCCTTATAAGCAGTATTTTGAACTCAGTATCTGTTAGGTTGCTTATCTCCCTTTCGCTTAGTTCTTTTATTGGGGTTTTGTTCTGTTCTTTCATTTGGGACCTGTTTCTTTGTCTCCTCATTTTGGCTGCCTCCCTGTGTTTGTTTCTGTGTATTACTTAATGAGAGGTATGGGGCTCGCTGAGACCCAATGCTGCTCATTTGAAAGAATTTAGGAAAAACCTGAAGCAGGATCCAAGACCGGCCAATCCTATGGTTAAGCAAGTGCCAACAGCTTGGGTGGGCTTGAAAGTTGTGTGGGGCAGGGCGGGGCCTCAGGGAGTCACCAGGGCGGGGCTACCAGTGTGAGCCAGGTTCCTGGAGTCCCAGATATGGCTTCTGTCTGCTGCCCCCGGGAAGGGCTCACCAAAGGAACAAAGGCCTCTAACAGCACGTTTGTCCCCGAGGAAGCCCCCTCTCCAGCCCTCGCTCCAGTGCCAAACAGCTCAGTTCTTCCCTGTATGTCTCTGGCGCCCCTCAAGCTGCCTCCCCTCTAAGCTTAGAGGGAGAGAGTCTGATAAGTCCGTGTGCGGGCCCTTTAGGGAGCTGCCTGGGGCTCCAGCCGCTTCAGCTTCCCTGAGCCTCAGTTTCCGCTGGTTTTTCCAGCCAGAAGTTATGGGGACTTCTCTTCCTGGCACTGGAACCCTGAGCGGGGCACCTGGTGTGGGACGGGGACCCCTCAGTCCTCAGAAAGGACCTTCCCAGCCGCGGGAGCCTCCTGATTTTTATCCGCCAGATGTGGGTGTGGGACCAGCCTGTCTTGCCGCCGCTGCCGCCGCCCCTCCTACCAGTCTGGATGTGGCTGCTGCTTTAATTCTGTAGTTGTAGGACTTCCATTCAGCTTGATTTCAGGCGGTTTTGAATGATGGTTGCTCTGTAGTTTAGTTGTAACTTTGATGTGGTTGTGGGAGGATGTGATACCGTGTTTACCTACGCCGCCATCTTGACCGGAAGTCTCTTCTTTTCAAAATATCATTTTATCTTTGAAAGCTGCCTGTTGACAAATAAACTTATAAAACAGATATGCCTGTGAAAGTCTACTTTAAAAAATAAGAAAAAAGTAAAAATCTGTACACAGAAATAATAAAGGAAATTACATTCATCAGGTTGGACACCCTTAGGTCCCATGCCCATAAAAAGATAGAGCCTTCCCCACACTTATATGTCTTCTTAAATAGAGTTCAGATATTTTGTTCAGATGTTGGAGTTGAAACAAAATTGAACACTATAAAAGGTGAAATTATCTATCCCATCTATTTAAAATACAGTTGATATTTGTATATGCATATCAACTATAATATAATATTATGTCATATATAATATAAAATATATATTACCTATTTCATTTATTTCAAAACTGTATCTTCAAATTCTTCCTGTTTTCCTTTGAAATAATCAGGATTTTTTAATGCTTCCTTATATATCAAACAAATTCAGCAACTCTCATTTCCTAAAAAGTAGAACATTTCATCAAGATTTACAAATTCATTAGCAAAGAATAAATGATGCTATAATTTAAAAGCAAATTTAGAATTTTGATTTCAAACATAAATTTATGTTAAGTGCAGAGTTCAATGCATCCCATGTACTCACTATTCAGCTTTAACAATTATGAATACTTTGCCAATTAAGTTTTTTGTCATTCCATTTTCTTTTCCTTCACCAGAACATTTCACAGTAAATCTCAGACATTATTGCATTGCATCTATAAATACAGCACTATGTTTTTACCTTATCATTATGCCATTATCACACTATTGCAATGAACAATCATTTATAAATATCCTCTTTCTCCACACATATCTACATTTACCCATGGTCTTTTTACAATTTATTTGTTTGACTTGGGATCCGGTTAAAGTTCATTAATTCTCGGTCTGTTGTTATATATTTATTATAAGTCCCCTCCGCATTTGAATTTCAATCCCTTTATTATTTCTGTGTTCATATTTTTAATTTTTTCTTATTTTTAAAATTATGCTTTCACAGGATGTCTGCTTTATAAGTTCATTTGTGAAAGATGCAACTCTTAAAGATAAAATAATATTTCAAAAACTAAAATCCATGAATATATTTTTTGTTTCTGTTTCACTGACATTTGGGATGATCCTTTCATAGGTTCTTCATTAAACTACTTAGTTTATTTCATTAACTCTTATTTTTAAATGAAAGCATATAAGCGTAAACTTGTTTGTTCTCCAGATAAGCATTGGACCACATAAAATACCTTTCCTAAATTATTTCCAAGTCACTTGAAGTCATACGTTTAATTTCATCATCACTATGAAAATGTATGAAGATATTTTACAAGATTTAAGTGGATAAGTTGTTAGAAACGTTCCATACTCCTGGGATCTCATGCTACAGATTTACGTGTAGTTTTGATTAATATTGACTGTGTGATCACCAAGGTTTTAAAGAAAGACTGGTACTTAAAATTTTGTTATTTAGACAAGAAGAATAAGAATAAGACAATAAGAATAAGAATAGGAAGAAGAGGAGGAAGAGGAAGAAGGGGAAGAACCATTGTTGCTAATTATTCACCATATAAAGTTGGAGAATAACTCAACTTATGAGTCATGTATGGACACCACTGTAAATGTTACAATAAATTAAAGCCTTGTGTCCACATTCTGAATATAACATTCTCCCAGCTACTTCCAATTGCAATGATAAAATCAGTATCATTTTATATTAGATGTTCTGAGCTCCTACAATGACATGTTAACCTAGTTCTAATACAATAAAGACAGAACTACCTCTCAATATGAACTTTGCTCTGGATTGTAATTTACTTTCTTTCTCTTGAAAGTAGAGTTTTGTGTCCCCTCTGCAGACAGTTTCAGAGTTACTGACCATGGAAAAATGGGTGTTT